AGCTCTCACACATAAAGGGAAACCATAAATATGTTTCTATCATGCTATTTCAAATTCAAGTGATTCAAATATCACCATACAGTTTTCTCCCATTTTACAGACAAGGAAACTGAGGCTCAGAGATAACTTAGCAGAGGTCAAATAGCTAGAAAATGACTCCTAACCATCTCTTAACCACCAGATCAGCTCTGTGCTTCTTGAAAACCAGTCCTATGTTAGATCTTTAGAGTTACTCCAAATGTCTGTCAGGGCCTGGCCAGAAGTGGCTCCATGGATATCAGCAAGCCCAGGGAAGTCAAAGAAAACCTAGCCTTTTTTCCCCAACCCTTCAGAGTTCAGATTTTGTTCCCCTGCCTCAGTTCCCAGATCCTCAAATGTGGTGCCTCTGTGCCATTCTGAGGAATCGCCTAGCCCCATTTCCTTCCCCTGCCTTCAGCACGGTCCTGGCTGCCCTTGAGAGAGAGCCTGTGTCAAAGAGAAAGAAGGGGCAGGACTTACTTCCTCTCCTGGCCACACAGGTATGCCAGGCTGGGTCCTCATTATGACCAGACGCTGTGCCCTATATGAGCGACAACCACAGCTTTTCATTCCAGCATCCAGCCTCAAAGGCAGTAAAAATAGGTGACACCATTGATTGGGCATCCTTGCCAAGCCGTGGTGCCAAGTTCCAGCACACACGTCCCATGGGCCTTCTGTCACTCGAAGAGCTAAGCACTATCCCATCGACTCACCTGCCTTTATTATTCACCTGCATTATGTATGGATCGTGGTCACACCAGGTGGCTCATAGGTGTGTGGGGCCAAGACAGGGACCCCCACAACGTCCCCCAGTGTGGAATGGCTGGGCAGGAATGAAGGCCAAGCTTCCCTACAACGCTCTTTTGGTAGCAACCTACAGAAACAATTCAAACTAGCTTAAGTGAAAAAGGAGAGTTTCTTCTAAGACTATAGGGCCTGCACCTGAAATGCCACGGGACTCATGGAGGGAGGTCAAGACTGTTTTTCATTAGTTCCGCCGCAGCTGGTGGTAATGACAAGGTTAAACAAGGTCTGAATTTTTGTATCAAGCTTTACTTCCAACATCCATTATATTGCTTGATTTTCAGAAAGACAAGAAATAATGAAATAACAGTAGGTGATGCTTCTTACCATGTGCAACCCGCATTCTAGGAGCATTATGGAACCTTCTAAGGTAGACACCGCTGCCGTCGCCCCCAGGAGAGAACAAGGCTGAGGGAAAGAAGACAAGTAATTTGTAAAGGGCTGCACTGCTAGTTCGTGGGATTGCAACCCAAGCAGCTGCGCTTAGAGCTAATGCAGTAGCCGCCACGTGGCTAGGGAGCACGTGAAATGTGGCCAGTCTGCATTAAGATGCGCTACAAGTGTGTAAAACACACACCGGGTTTCTAAGACTTAGTGCCAGTTAAAAAATGCGAAATACCTCATTAATAATTTTTCTATTGATTAAATGTTGAAATGGTGATGTTTGAGATATATTAGTCTAACCTACACATATTATTAAAATTAATTACACCTGCTTTTTTTAAAAAAAAAAAAACATTTTAACGTGGCAATAAGGCCATTTAAAATGATATGTGGCATTATGTCACATGTCTGTTGGACAGCACTGTTCAAACATGGTCCCCAGCCCTCTGGCCTGCTGTTCGGTGGCTGGTCCTCAGGGGAAGCTGGATACAGGCCTCTAAACAGCCTCAGGCCTCCTTACCTCCCCTCACATCTGGCACATCAGCTGCATTCTTCCCTCTCACTGCAGCGCTGGGCAGGTCCGGAGCTTGATGACTCTGGCCTCAGACACCCCAAAGCCTGACTCTGGACCGCACTGCACAAGCAGCTGAGGTCCAACGTGAAGCCCAGGGCCCAAAGGATGGGCTCGACGTCACTGCATCACGTGCCACGTTCTCTGGTTTCTTAGGATTTGGGGCACTAATGCAGTGGCCACCAGGCTGACTTCCCGTGTGCTCTCAGGAGTACCCCTGAGACAGACCCCGAGAGATCCTGGCTGCTGAGACCTCACCAGGTCATGGTTTGGCCGCGGGCCTCTTTTTCTAGACTGAGCCAGAAAAAGGGGGTGGAAAGAGAGAAAAGAGACCAGATATTTTCTGGGGCCGTTTGACAAGTAGGTCCCATGACTTTTAATGGTCTGTATTTTGACTCTGGATGCTGGAGTTTTCCAAATGGGCATCGACCTGGAGATCCCAAGAAAGGGGACCGTGGGATGAGCGCTGTGTGAGTCCCTGCAGCCAGCGCCTCTCTCCTCCAGTCGGTGTCTCAGCTCTTCAGAGAAGCTGGAGAGGGCTGTTTCCAATTTGCTTCCTGGAATTCAGGGAGGGCGAGGTGTGTTTCTCATTATAGAATTTGCACTCCCATTAAAGCCAATTTTTAAGGCATTTCATCTGCAAGCAAGCCCCGCCCCACTGCAACCACGGCCCTTCCGTTTTAAGTCCAAGCACTGGAAGGTTTGCCCAGTTGGGTCAGATTCAGGTGCCCTCCCCCACCCAGAACTAGGCCTCCCCATGAAATACTCCGGGAGCCCCTAGTGTGAGATCAGGACTGCGTGCTGTTAGCTCAGCTGCAGTTGGCAGCAATTACAATTTTAAACAAGGCTCTAACTTTTGTATCACGTTTTGCTTTCAACATCCATTATCTTGTTGGATTCTCAGAGCAGCGCTGTGAGGCAGAGGGGGTGTTATTATCTCCACTTTGTAGGTGGGGAGATGGAAGCTCCGATAAAGGAAATGATTTTTCTACAGTCACATGACCAGTGGGTTGCAGAGCTAGGACTGGGGCCCAGTCTTCTGAATCCCAGTCCAGTCATCTCATTGGGTTTCCCTCAGCAGCCAAGTGTGGCTTTGTCATCCGCACATTTACTGAAACCCTTTTGATCCTGTTGCTCTTTTATTGTAAGTGACCATTTCATTCAAGGCTGGAACAACTGTGAGTTGAGCACTTGCTAGACTCCGGTGACATCACACAGAGCAAGATGGGCAGGATCTCTGCTTTCCTGGACCTTCATCTCCAGGGGAAAGACATAGACAGTTAACAGGTCAAGAAGCAAAGAAATATAGAACCACAACTTGAGCCCTATGCTTAGAAAGGAAGGCCAGGGTGGTCTGAGCAAATAAGCAGGGTAGGCGGGCTCGTTTAGATCCTGTGCTGGGGCAGGACTCTCGGAGGAGAGGTTATTAGACTTGAGGCTTGAAGGAGGAGGCAGGCAGCTATTGGAGGGCTTTGGATGGAGGAGACTAGCATCAGGGGGCATTTTAGGCAGAGGTCTCTCCAGTCGCCGAGCATTTACTGTGTCTCTCACTGGGCGAGAAACCCTGAGGACATTGTCTCACTATGCCTACACACACCACGAGGCAGGTATACTATTATTTCTACCGGATAGTTGAGGACACTTCCTGGCTGGGTTTCTCATGTCTCTTAAAAACCGCCCCTACCTATCAGTGCGCCACAGCCTGATCACCAACAGGTCAAATTTATTTGTACATGATTTATGTCCTCTGATCTCCAAGATGAGATTATTCAGAACTCAGGCCTAGCAGTCTTGCTCAAGGCCCACACAAGTGTCCCCTGAGTTTCTACTGGCAGACCATGTTCAGGTAGAGCCAGCCAGAGACAGATGTCCCCATTCTGGCCTTTTTCACATCACAATCTGGGTGGAGGGCCCTTGGGAAGGAATTGGGGGGCATTTCCTGAGGGTGGGAGGAAGAGGGAGGAGAAAGGCTGCTTCCCTGACAGTCCTGGCTGGGGCCCTTTAGCCCCTAATGTTTCCCTAGAACATGTGTATTTATGAATCATTAGCTACTTAACTGAAAGATGAGTTAAGAGACTGGGCAGATTAAAACCAGACTGAAGGACTTTATCCAAGTTTAGCACCTCATGATTCTGTGTTTGGGGTTTAATCGTCCAACACTTTTTTCCCTTTAGCAGGCAGACTGTCTTGCAGCCTCCTGCAGTCAACTCACTCCAGAAAGGACAATGTGAAAACTAAGATAATTTTTTAAAGGTGAGGAAGGACCAATAGGCCGCTGCCTTGTTTTCCCTTTGCTGTGGATGTTCTCTAGGGGAGACTCTGAGTCCCAAATACTCGTTAATCAAGCAAGTTCTTCTTTTTCTTTTTTTCTCCTTTTTTTCAATCCTCACCTGAGGATATTTTTTTCCATTGCTTCTTAGAGAGAGTGGAAAGGAGAGAGAGACATCAATCCGACAGAGACACATCTATTGGTCACCTTCTGCATGGGCCCCGACCAGGGCGGATATGAGCCTACAACAGAAGCTCATCCCCTTGGCAGAATCGAATCCAGGGCCCTTCAGTCCGCGGGCCCGCGCTCTAACCGCTGAGCAACCTGGCTAGGGCAAAGCAAGTATTTCTTGAACACCCATTATGTGCAAGAAAGTTGGAAGCCCCAGGGGTATAGCAGGTTAGCTGCGGTCCCCTCTCCCAAGGGGCTTCCGTTTTAATGGGAGGCACAGGGGAAAGGCAACAGGCCCAGTAAGCAGGCAAGCAGGCAAATACCGTGAATAGGGGTGAGCTTGTAGAGCTGGAAAGACAAGCAAGGAGCTGGGGTCCAAAGGGAGAGCTGTGAGGAAGGCCTCGGAAGAAGTGACATTTAAGCTGAAACAGGATAAAAAGCCAGCCTGCCAAAGGGCGGGGCCCCTGGGTTTCAGAAAGAGGGGCAGCCTGGAGCTTGGTCTGAAGGAGAAGGGATGTCTGGAGGCGCAGTGAGAGGTGGGGGGAGCCGGGGTTGGGTGGTGGTAGAGGGGAGCCAGGTCATTTGGGGCCTTGTGGGCCACATCGCCAGGGGGTCTGATATTTGCAGCCAGTGGAGCAAGATCAGCCAGGAAGTGATGTGGCTGAGTTGTGCTTTTAAAAGATCCCTCTGGTTCCAGCTCGGAGAGTGCGTGCGTGGGGAGCGAGGGACCAGGGAGGAGGCTCTTGCCAGGTCCAAGCAAGAAATGAGCTGATGGCCTCCGGATGGGCTCTGTGCACCCTGGTCTTTTGCTTCAGCCCCTGAAAACACCCCGTTAACACTCCAAAGAGGCTGATGGTGGGGAGTCAGAGCCCAGGAGGCTGCCTTCCCTCCCCCATCATCTTGGCTAAGCCAAGCGCAGGCCTCTTAAAGAACAGGAGGTTTTCTTCAAGCATCGATTTACTCGAGTATCCTGAGGTGAAAACGCATCACTCTTACATTTTCAAAGTCTCTGTGTGTAGTGTGTGTGTGGATGTGTGTAAAATGACAAAATACACAATATCAAAGAAACCTCTGTTGCTCTGTGTAGCTTTGCCACACACTTCAGGTCCCTCCTGTAATTTGGGACATTTGGGAGGAAAAATGAAAGAAACCCTGATATAATGGAAAGCATTTGGGCATGAGGGTCAGCCAAACCCAAGTTCAAATATAACTTCGGCCGCAAACTAGTTATGTAAACATGAGCGAACTAGCCTCTCTGAGCTTCAGTTTCCTCTTCTATAAAACAGGAAACCAATATCGGGAGAAGGGAGCAAGGTGCAGTGAATGAAGTGTGGTCTGCAGAGCCCTCGGACACGGGTTCGAATGCTGTTCCCACTGCTCCGACTATGTGACTTTGGGTAAATCGTTTGACTTCTTAGAGCCTCTGTGTCTCCCTCTGAAAAATGGAACAATGAGTTTTCCACCTTCATAGGATGTATTGTAAACTTCAAATAAAAGAATTCAAGTAAAGAGCGTCACACAGTGCCTGGGAAATTGTAGGTGTCCAGCAAAGTCAGTTTGCCTCTGTCTCTGTTTCCCTGTCAGTCACTGAAGAGGTCAGAGGAGACCAATCCTTGGGGCTTCCCCAAGTCTGGAATTCTGAATTTATTTAAAAGACCATGGAAGAGTTAAGCTGTCTGGATTCCTCAGGCCATGGCGCCCACCCCAGGTTTTCTCAGCACTTTGGTATAGAAAGTAGACTGGGGGAGGGGGGGCAACCCGGAGGGTGGGTGCACAGGCTGGGAGCAAGGCTATTTGGAGCCTTGTTTTCCTTGGAGGTGTCCTGGGGCCAAGGAGCCTCTCCTCTCCCTCCCTCTAGGTTTGGAACCAGAATCTAGTCATCCAGTCTTTATTTCCAAAACAGTTCCTGGCTCCGGCTGCGGGAACCTCCAGCTGCAGCTCTGAGAAATCCCTTGTTCCTTGTGTGTTCTAGAGCCCTGCTTCTCCGCCCTGACACTGGGCCTGCCCTGGGCGAGCTGTCACTGAGGCTGTCCCTGCTGTTCAGAGAGGCTGGTGCCGGCAGGCATGGGCTGGAGAACAGGCCCGCCTCCCTCTTGGCCAGCATGTGTGGCTGAGAGTGGAGGTCAGAGAGAGAGGGGATGGGTAACTGACGCCCATGGTTCCCCTCTCTCCTGCCTGTCTTCATCTAGTTGTTCACTGGACCCTCACCTGCCTGGGAAACTCACTTCCACTGCTTCCTTCCTCTCTCTCCCTCAACCAAAACTGTAACTTCCCAAACCAGTGCAAACCTGCTTGAAGAATTCGGTTTCTCTTCTGGGAGCCCAGATGTCACTGGGCCATAAGTCCTGCTGCTCCAGAGGACAATGGTGTGATGATGAGTGTGTCACCCCAAGACCCCTCCAAAGTATATCCTGGGCCCATGACTCAGCTCATCCAAATATATACTCAAGATCTGATGACAGTGTCCAGCTACTTGTATGCGAGGTAGGAGAGAGCAGGAGCGAGAAATAGAATTGCGCCTCTCCCAGCTGCCTCCTCCCCCCGGATGCCTTTCTGACTGACCACCAGTCAGCTCAATGGCCGGACTCCCCTGCTCACAGCTCTCTTGCCTCCTACAGGTGACCACCATGATCCCCTGGGTGTTCTTGGCCTGTGCGCTCCCCTGTGCAGCCGACCCTCTGCTTGGTGCCTTCGTCCGCAGGGATTTCCAGAAGGGCTCCCCTCAACTTGTCTGCAGCCTACCTGGCCCCCAGGGCCCACCCGGCCCCCCAGGAGCCCCAGGGCCCTCGGGAATGGTGGGAAGGATGGGCTTTCCCGGCAAAGATGGCCAGGATGGCCAGGATGGGGACCGGGGGGACAGCGGAGAGGAAGGTAAGAGGTCCAGTGACTGCCCCTCCTGTTCCCACCTGGGGTTAATAGCATCTGGCACAGATGGGGTTTATGAAGTTACGAAAACTAGTGTTAATCCCATCTCATTATCAACCAAATTTATGTCTCTTTTAAAAAGAGCAGTGTATTCTGAAAAAAAAAAGTGAATATTAAATGTTGTGTTCCTTCCCCAGCTGCACCATTGACTTGCTGAGTGACTTTGGGCAAGTTTCCTGAAATACTATTCAGACCTCTTTTGGTTGCAAGTGGTAGAAACCCAGTTTATAGCCCGAAATGGAATTTATTGGCTCATGCAATTGGGAAGCCCAAGAGTTAAGCTTCAGGAATGACTGGATCCAGGCACTCAAATATTGTCACGGCTCTGCTTCTCTCTGTGTGTTGGTTTTGTTCTCACGAAGGCTGCAAGTTCTGAAATGGCAACTGGTAGGCTCAAGGCTTCTTCTTCATGGTTTGACCCATAGAGCAAATCTCAGGATGACTGATCCTCCATGATCACATGTCCATCCTGGATCAATCCCTTTGACCATGGAGGTGAGGTACCACCATTTGCCAGAACTGGGTCTTGTGCCCACCCCTGGGTGTGTGTGATTGGGTGGTGAGGGCAGTTGGTCACTGGGATTGACAGCCTCACTGGGATCACATGAGGTAGTGAAGGTCAGTTCCCGAAGGATGCCAGGTAGCCAGCAAACACGTTGGATACCGTTTACAGGCCCTCTCAGCCTTGACTTCGCTTACATCTCTGAACTCTCACCCCAGTAACCAAATACTTTCCAGCGTCAGCAGAACCCAAAAATGTATGTTTTAAGCAGGAGGGAAATCATAACTTTTATTTGTATGGCATTTTAACACTGACAAAGCATTATCCCATTTCCTGCCAACAGTGGTAGATTTGGGTCTGGGCATGTGCTCCACACAGGACCAGCCAGAGTTTTCCCTGACTCTCACCTTAGGAGTCCTAGGGGAGGACAGATATATCTGCTGTTGACTCCCCCCTCTTGATCAAGAGCTGTGGGGATGGAGGTCTGGGGCTGCTTTGGGCCATCTCTCCAGCCATGTAGTGAATCTTTGCTGAGAATTAATCCAACACACCAAGGAATGTGATGTTGAGAGATGGAAAGCCCTGACATGTAACCAGGACAAAGCCCGGTCACCCTGGGACCAGTCCTAGTACAGGAAGACCACCAACCACCTCCCCTGACACACATGCATAACTTTATCTCCACGAAGGTCTTGAAACGTGAAGTCAGCTCTTCCTGAAATTTCTCAAACAAGTAATCAAGAAGGAAGCACATCACATAACATGTGGTAGAAACTTCCCGGTAGGCTTCCTTATTTGTCTTCCCCAAACACCTTAAATCCAAAACAACTCTGCCTTTACTTCTGCTCACTCAGCCCCTTCTCCCATCTGTTTTCATTTTTTTAAAGAACAGCTTTGTGACCTTTCTTGGTTTTGTTTTTCCCCCTGTTCCTTTTATTTATTTACTTACTTATTTTTAAAGATTTTTAATTGATTTTAGAGAGAGAGAAAGGGAGAGGGAAGGAGAGAGAGAGAAACATCAATGCGAGAGCAAAACATCCATCAGCTGCCTCCTGCAAGCCCCCCACTGGCCAGCAGGCCCTCAACCCCGGACACGTGCCCTGGCCTGGAATCGAACCGGCCACCCTTTAGCGCATGTGATGACGCCCAACCAACTTACAGCTTGAGTTTCACACAAATACACTGTCATTGCAATAGACTCAAACAATGCAAATACAGCAACAGTCCTCCTTAATTCCTATCCCCTTCTTGTCTTGCCCTCACCCTCCAGAGGTAAACACTGATAACTGGTTAAATATGAACCTTCCCTGGCCCTTTTCTACATACTTACATCGTGTATAATAATACCAGGCACTGCCAGGCACTTAGTGTAAGCCATCTGTTCCTGAAAACTAAATGTTCAGTGAGAAGATACTATTAGGGAATCTATTTCCTTACTTACTTAGGAAACATTAAAATATATTACACTTTAACCCAAAACTCTAAAACACAGTAAAATGCCTACATATATACATATAAGAAGCAAAGTATCTTGTTAGGGTATAAAATACCTACATTACTTTCTGATCATCCAATTTTTAGTGGTTAACAAAGAGCTGCCTTGTGTACAGTGATGCTAGAATGTTCTTTAGCACCAACAACCTTCAGAAGCAGGCTCCTTCATTGGCATTCAATAGGCTTTTCAAAATATCTACACCCAGTTCTACCGGTCAACCAATTGTACCAGTTGTACAATTGTGTTTGGATGTGACTCAGCTCTTTACCCTTAATATGTTTTGTTTAAAATGTTGTGTTAGCCCTGGCCAATGTGGCTTAGTTGGGTGAGCACTATCCCATGCACCAAAAGGTCGCCGGTTCGATTCTCGATCAGGGCACATAGTTGGTTGCTGGTTTAATCCCCAGTTGGAGCATGTACAGGAAGCAACTACCCAATGTTTCTCTCTCTCCCTCTCCTTTCCTCTCTCTCTAAAGTCAATTTTTTTAAAAAGATAAAATGTTGTATTGAGTTTAGGAGACATGACTATAAATATTTTCTATATAATCATTGGCCAAAAATATTGTATTGAGAGAAATGCACATTTTGTGAAATATGGTATTAAAAACCAAGAGGCATTCTACAGGAAATGTTCTGCAGGGCATGCCTAGTGTATTTAGCTCATGCTCACTATGGGCCAGGTGCTCTTCTATGCACTTAGATGAGCAGAAATAGCATTGTGGTTTCCTTTGAACAACAACAAAAAAAAAGCAAAAAAATGGTTCTACCACCTTCTCTTTCCTCTTAACAGGATATTTTGGAGAAGTTTTCATATAGTACACATAAATCTGCCTCATTTTTAAAAAACTCCTGCATAGAATTTCATAATCTTTAATCCTTTCCCCTTGGATGGGCAGTTAGTTGTCCCCAGTGTTTGCTATTGCAAGCCATGCTGTGCTAAACACCCTTGCACACATGGGCAGGGATCTGGGAATCTCACTAAGATCAGTGTTTTGAGGTCAAGAGGCTTCTTCCAGTTCTCTTCTCAACCCTTGACCAGTACAGCCCTTCAAAGGACTGTTCGAGCAAACAAACCAGACTCTTCTTAGAAGGCAAGAAGAGAAAAGGCTATGAGTTGTTACGTTAGTTTTGCCCCGATCCGCAGTGATTCTGGAAGGTAAGTATCACCATTCCCAGTTTCCAGATAGGACTGGGACACGTGCCCCGGGTTACAGCCCCAGGATTTGCACCCATTTCCAGGTAGCTCCAAAGCCCTCTGGTTCTTCCTATTACCCAAAGGCCTGTGTTCCAAAGATGGAAAGCCAAGGCCCACAGGTCTGCCCATTTCTCTGAGGCGCCCTTCATAACACCAGCTGCTCTGTCTTCCAGGTCCACCGGGCCGAACAGGTAACCGAGGAAAGCCAGGACCAAAGGGCAAAGCCGGGGCCATCGGGCAGGCTGGCCCTCGTGGCCCCAAAGGGGTGAGTGGTGCCCCAGGGAAGCATGGCACACCGGGCAAGAAGGGGCCCAAGGGCAAGAAGGGGGAGCCCGGCCTCCCGGGCCCCTGCAGCTGCGGCAGTGGCCACGCCAAGTCAGCCTTCTCCGTGGCGGTGACCAAGAGCTACCCCCGGGAGCGGCTGCCCATCAAGTTCGACAAGATCCTGATGAACGAGGGCGGTCACTACAACGCATCCAGCGGCAAGTTCGTCTGCAGCGTGCCCGGCATCTACTACTTCACCTACGACATCACGTTGGCCAACAAGCACCTGGCCATCGGCCTGGTGCACAACGGCCAGTACCGCATCCGGACCTTCGACGCCAACACGGGCAACCACGACGTGGCCTCGGGCTCCACCATCCTGGCTCTCAAGCAAGGTGACGAGGTCTGGCTGCAGATCTTCTACTCGGAGCAGAACGGGCTCTTCTACGACCCTTACTGGACCGACAGCCTCTTCACAGGCTTTCTCATCTACGCCGACCAGGGCGACCCCAATGAGGTGTAGACAGGCCGCACTGGGTCTCCAGGGGCAGAACCCACTCCTGGACTTGGGCCTGCAGGGCGAGACCCCTAAGCTGTCTGCTGGGGCTGGGGGTCAGGAGCTTCTGGACTCAGGCCAACCTCCTCTGCCCCCTTTCCCTCCATCATTAAATCCAAGCTTTTTTTAATTCATCCTTCCATTTATCTATTCATTAATTATTATTTTTTTTAGTACCTACTGTGTGACAGGAGCTGTGCTACAGGCTGGAAGGTACCGCAGTGAACAAGACAGACAGAGGCTCTGGCCTCATGGGGCTCCCATTCTAGCGGAGATACAATGTGCAAATAAACAATGTAATTATTGAGCCAGGGTGGAAANAGAGGCTCTGGCCTCATGGGGCTCCCATTCTAGCGGAGATACAATGTGCAAATAAACAAATAATGTAATTATTGAGCCAGGGTGGAAATGCACACGCCATGGTCAAAAGTAATCGGAATAACAGGAGACAGGGAAGAGGTGGAAGTTTTTTTGGATTCCATCCTTTTAGGTTTACTTATACTCAGTAAAGTCTACACATCTTAATGGACAGCTAAATGGATTTTTACTTACATGCAGAGTTTGTAACCTCTGTGTAGATTAGGAACAGAGTATTATTTCCAGCCCCCCAACTACCCAAGGCTCTCTTAAGTCCCTTCCAAGTCAGTCCCAGAAAGAGGTTCATTTTTAAGCTGAGCACTGAAGCAGAAGAGGGAGCCATGCAGAGGGCTGGGGGAAGGGGTCTCCTGGCAGAAGGAGCTGCAAGTGGAAAGGCCTAGACATTGGAGAGATCTTGGCATAGCTGAGGAACTGACTGAAGGCCAGAGGGTTGCAGAGAAGTAACAAAGGAGCCGGGAGGCATGAGGTGCGAGGCTGGAAGATTATACAGAACCTCATAGGTTGTGGCAGAGTTCATTCCCTCAAGAAAGCTTGTCAGGATGCAAGAGTGAGCATGACATTAATATAGAAATAACCTTTTAAAAAAAAAATTTTTTATTGATTTTTAGAGAGACAGGGGGAGAGAGAGACACATCGATGTGAGAACAACAAAACATCCATCTACCTCCTGCACACCCACTACTGGGGATCAAGCCTGTACTCCGGGCATGTGCCCAGACCAGGAATTAAACCAGTGACCTTTGGTGCATAGGATGGTGCCCAACCAACTGAGCTACACCAGCCAGGGCAATGTAGGGATAACCTTGAATCTGCTCCGTGCTTGAGTCAAGTCCATCTCACATTTAAGCACCTTATTGTTAGTTACAAATCACCTGCAGGCCCACTTCTTAATCAGTGAGATACACCAGGACGTCCCCAGGTAAGAAACCCAGGAAGGGGTCTGGGGCCCAAACAGATTAATGCGTAGGTCAGTCGGGGTCCTGCCTGGCACCCCTGTGGGGAGGGGCCAGCTTGTGAGTTTGAGCAGGAATCTTTGTGAACAGTTCTTTTTACTTTTCCTTTATTTAACCACTTCCTCTTCCTTCCTCCAGGGATGTAGGCATTTGAAGGCAGTGGACTTAACCCTTTGTAGCCTGAGTAATAAATCCAGCCTGAGCAAGATGAGCAGGACCCCAGAGCTCTGTGGTTGCCACATCTGGGTCTGACCGGAACCCGTGTCTTCTTGTCACCCTACCAGAGAATCCCCAGGGCAGTGGGGACGGTGGCGGGGTAGTCAGCATCCATTGTGGGGGTGGGGCAGATGGAGGCAGAACCTTGCAGGAATCGGGGCCGGGGTCTTCTCTCCCTTGGATGTGGTCCAGTGCCATTGGAGGTGGTGACGGGAGTGCTTGTGGTAGGTGGGCAGAAGCAGGTGACACAGTTCAGGGGGTCTCTCATAACCAGCTGATGGCAAGGAGGAGGGCTGGTTTATCCACTAACACTTCTGAGGGTGATTGCCTCCTTGGTGAACCACTGGAGTCCTCTGGCAAGCAGGTGATGCAGGATGGAGGCCCAAACAAGGAAGGTGTCCCAAGAAGGTGGCCTTTGCAGACACACTGGGGGACCAGCCCCATACTGTGAGCCTCAGCAGACAGGGCCTACCTTTAGGCCTTCACGTTTGCAGGCATTGGTGAAAACCCAGAACCCAATGCATCTTTGTGCAATAACATTGCCCTTGACTCCAGGGTGTTTTCTCATAAGGGATGAACTTTGAAATTCAGCCATTGTCAAAGATAAACTAAGCTCGACACTAGTTAAAGTGGTAAGGTCAGATTTTAATCAGTAATATACTATTGCAACAGTATACAGGGAATATACAATATATGAATTTTAATAATAGGGAAGCACGTATAACGTGAACTCGCCTTGTACACAGGTGTCTGGGTGTTTTAAAGGGCAGATGAGGGAATAGGGAGAGGAGGGGAGGGGCACTCTGTAGAGTCAGGGAAGTGAAAACTTACGAAAAACAGGAAGATGGGACATCAGTCCATGTGAAACACACTGTGTTTGCTAACTGGCTCTTATTGAATAGGCTCCTCTCCTCCCACAGAAACTGGGAGACAGATGCTATCTTCAGATGTTGGCTAGAACAAGCAATACATTCTTTGGGCTGGCTTGAGTTTTTTCAGGCAGCCACTTTAAGGGAGGGTTGGGTCATGCCTGGGCTGCAGCCTTGAGCTGTTAGAAACTATGTGTTTGTTCAAGTCTTTATAAGCCAAGGTTGACTGGCCTGGTCAAGAAGTGGGCTCAGAGGAGCCTGGCTAGAGTTTGAGCAAGGAGAGAGTCTTTGTCATGGTCCCCTTTGGAGAAAGCCTAGAGAAGCTGCAGCTCTGGTTATTAAGCTGCACAGAGCACTAGGGCCGCTATCCTGACACACCAGCCAGACCCATGCCCAGCCTCATGGCTCATCGGACAAGTGAGGGCACCGTACATCTGGGAGGGTCTTCAGGGCTGACTGCTAGATGAGGACCATGACCGGGGAAGGCAAATGAGGCATTCACCTACTGAGTGCCAAAAACCTCAGCAATCAATGTAAGTAATATTTTAATGTAATATATATTAATACATTGAAACTAATGCAAAAAAATCTCTGTGATGATCCGGCCAGTGTGCCTCAGTGGTTGAGTGTCGACCTATGAATCAGGAGGTCATGGTTTGATTAATGACCAGGGCACATGCCAAGGATCCCCAGTGGGGGACATGCAGGAGGCAACAGACCAATGACTCTTTCTTATAATTGATGTTTCTATCTTTTTCTCTCTCTCTCTCTTTCTTCCTGTCTTTGAAATCAATAAAAACATATTTTTTTAAAAAATTTCTGTGAACAAACTATTGCAATTTTAAATAAAGAAGAGATCTGACAATGCTGGAATTAAGGCGAGATAAGACCAGCTGAGTCCTGCAGCAGCAGCCAGGCCCTCTTTCATTTCCTGACCGTCATCTTCACTTATTCCACCAGGTGGGGCACATCTACTATACAAACCTTCAGTCCTGAAGCATAGAAACTGAAAGGCATGCCCTGGTCTCTTCTCCAGACTGTTTTCTAGATTCAGAGCCAAAGACAAGAGAGAGAGAGAAAGAGAGAGAGAGATTCTGGCCCATTGTTTTATACGACCATGATCTTCTGCTGGGAAAAGAAAAAGAATTACACACAAGAGCTGCACGTCTTCCTAGTACTCTCAGTTAAAGGGATTTTGGACACATTCTAAATTGCAGACATAGCTGGTGTAAGGCAGGAATATAATAGCAGTTGTCAGGGAAACAGAAAGTCTGGGTTCCAGTCCTAGTGCTGCCTTCAGATTCCTTGGGCAGGTTTGGTCAAGTCATTTCTAGACTGGGGGCCTCAGTTTCCCCGTCTGTAAAATGAAGGGTTGGATCAGATGATCTCAGAATCCATTTTGGCACTAAACATTTATGTTTCTGTCTCCAAAGCAGAGCCAAGGAGAGAGCCTGGCATTCCTGAAGCATAAATTAAAACAGCTGGGTGAATCGGGCCAGCGTGCTCTGAAACACTGATCTTTGACATCCGGCCCTCTGTCTCCAACTGAAGACTTCCAACAGATTGCTGTTCTTAGGTTTCCTGAGCTAGAATAGAAATCATGACCAACTGCTACTGAACATTAGCCATATGCTGGGTTTGATGTATATTCTTTCTTTTCAGCTTCTTGACACCCCTCCTTTACAGGTGGAGAAATCTGAGTCCTAGAAAGAATGCCAGAGGTCACCTCACTGGGAAATGCATAGCTGGGATTGGAACCAGGCTTCTGAATCCCAAGGCTGCCTTTCAGCTGCACTGGCCAGGCCCTCCCTGCCCTGCTGTGTGCCCCCCACAAGAAGGCAGCCAGAGAAATGAGAAGGCCTCTGATACTGAGGCTCTCCTGAGTGGTAGGGGGTTGGACCCCAAACACTTCCCTCCCACAAAGCAGGATCCAGTCTAGTGGATGTCAGCTCAGCAGACATCTTCTAGGCATCCGTGGGGCAAGGCCGGGGAAGGCACCAGTGGTCCCAGGACAGGTGGGGAGTCAGAATCTCCCAGGGCAGGTGGGGCTGTGAAAGGGGGTGGGACAGCTCCACCTGGGCCACCCCGTCAGCTTCCGGGGTGCAGCCTGTGAGTCTGGCCCTAACAACTCCTCAGCCAGCTCCCAGCTCTAAGTACAGCCAGCTTCCCAATCCCTGGGCTGGGTGAAACCAAAAACAGGAAAGGCTCCGATTCTGCTTTTTTATGGGGGTGGGACATGTATGTGTTCCTTTTTCTTCATCTCCCCCTTTCCTGGTGGCCACAGCTGCCCTCAGGCCCAGGTGGACATGGCAAATGGAGCCCTGAGGGCGCCCTGGAAGGTAAGCTCCCAGGCCCAATTCCTCAACTGGCATCATGGGCTGGAGGGGGAAGGTTGCTCGCTCACCCCCAATAACCTCTCTGAAATTCCCCGTCATTCCCCGGTTCCAGCTTCAGAGACAGAAGCCAGAGGCTTCAAAAGAAATTCTCGGAAAGGGCCCACAGATGGCTACGGGCAAATTTTTCATCTAGTTTATCACTTTGCCTCAGGTTGGCCCTGATTAAAAACAAGAAGGAAGAACTGGTTCCATCACTGGGTTTTATTTTCTTCGCTGCCCTTGTAAGCTTGCAACGGCCAATCATCCCCACCCCCCAC